AACACCCTTACAGACGCACCCAAGATCAGTACTTTGCATCCTTCAATCCAGTCAAGTTGACACTCAGTATTAATCATCACTGCTTTCTTAAGCAAAAAGAATAGAGCTGGAGGCATCACATTATCTGACTTCAAATTATACTACAAAGCTATAGTAACCAAAAAAGCATGGGACTGGCATAAAAACAGACACACTGACCAATGGAAGAGAACAGAGAACCCAGAAATAAATTCCCACATTTACAGCCAACTTGTTTTTGACAAAGGTGCTGAGAACATACACTGGGGAAAAGGCAGTCTCTTCAATAAACGGTGTTGGGAAAATTGGAGATCCATAAGCAGAAGAATGAAACTAGACCCCTGTCTCATGCCACACACAAAAATTAAATCAAAATAGATTAAATACTTATATCTAAGACCTCAGACTATGAAACTATTATAAGAAAATATTGATGAAACACTCCAGGACATTGGGCTGGGCAAAGATTTCCTGAGATCACACAGCAAAAATGGACAAACAGGATTACATCAAGCATAGCAAAGGAAACAATAAAGTAAAGAGACAATCCACAGAATGGGAGAAAATATTTGCAAATTACCCATCTGACAAGGGATTAATAACCAGAACATATAAGGAGCTCAAATAACTTAACAGAAAAAAAATCCAATTTAAAAATGGTAAAAGAACTGCATAGATATTTCTTAGAAAAGGACGTACAAATAGCTAACACATATATGAAAAAATGCTCAATATCATTAGTCATCAGAGAAACACAAGTGAAAACTACAATAAGATATAATCTCACCCCAGTTAAAATGGTTTTTGTGAAAAAGACAGGCAATAATGATTGCTGGTGAGGATATAGAGAAATGGGAACCCTTGCAAGGTGCTGGTGAGAATGCAAATTAGCACAGCCATTTTGGAAAACAATATGGATGTTCCTCAAAAAACTAAAAATCAAACTCTCTTATGATCCAGCAATCCCACTGCTGGGTATATATCCAAAACAACAAAAAAAAGGAAAATTACTATATCAAAGCGATATCTACATTCCCATGTTTATTGCAGTACTACTTAAAATACTAAGATATGGAATAAACCTGTGTCCATCAGCAGATGAATGGATAAGAAATCCTGTTGTTTGAAACAACATGGATGGAACTGAAGGATATTATGTTAAATAAAATAAACCAGGCACAAAAAGACAAATATTTCATGTTCTCACTCATATATCGGAGCTAAAAAAAAATTTGAGCTCATGGAGGTAGAGAATAGAATAGAATGGTGGTTAGCAGAGGCTGGGAAGGGTAGTGGAAAGGGGGACAGAAAGGGGATGGCTAGTGGGTAAAAAATACAGTTACACAGAAGGAGTAAGATCTAGAGTTTGGTAGCACAACGGGGCAACTATAATAAATTAACAATAATTTATTGCACATTTTAAAATAACTAAGAGTGGAATTGGAATGTTTCTAACACAAAAAAATGATAAATGCTTGAAGTTATGGATACCCCAATGTATTAGTCTGTTCGCACATTGCTATAAAGAATTGAGAATGGGTAATTTATAAAGAAAAGAGGTGTACCTGACTCACAGTTCTACAGGCAGATAGGAAGCATGGCCTGGGAGGCCTCAGGAAACTTACAATCATGGTGGAGGGTGAAGGGGAAGCAAGCGTGTCTTCACTTGGCAGCAGGAGAGAGAGAGCAAAGGGGTAAGTGCTACACACTTCTAAACAACCAGATCTCCTGAGAACTCCAATATGAGAACAGCAAGGGGGAAGTCTGCCCCCATGATTCAATCACCTCCAACCAGGCCCCTCCTTCAACATGTGGGGATTATAATTGGATATGAGATTTGGGTGGGGACACAGAACTAAACCATATCACCCAGTTACCATGATTTGATTATTATACATTTTATGTTTGTAGCAAAATATCACATGTACCCCATAAATATGTACAACTAACATGCATCCATAATAATTGAAAACGAAAAATTAAAAAAACAGATTATTGAAAGAAAAAGGACATGATAATAAATTTCTGACTTGGGTCAAATTGATATTTATATGAAAGCAACATAAAGCTGTTCTTAGATATCAAAGACTCAGGTCAAAAAACCCAAGTTCCCTTAAGGAAACTGCTCAAAGATACTAGCCAAAACACCTAGAGATAACTGAAAATTAAATACTAAAAACAAACAAAGGCATCAAGGCTTTAAAGAACTACGGAAACCAAAGCCAATAAAAACGTAAGATCATCCTACGTAGTTATTTTGAATTTGGTTACAAAATGGTATAGAAAAAGTATCTGCCAGAGATAATCTAGAAGTTTACAAAAGGCCAATTCATAATAGAAGTCACATGAACCTTCATAGACCAAAAGACATAGAATAAAACGAAGAAAACTTAAGTATAAGGAGAAACTCACAACAATAACAAATATATGGGACAAAAAATCAGAATAAAGCAATGTCAGATTAAGAAAGTGAAAATAAACAACACATGGGTGATCTGAATAACAAATACTAAGGCTAAATTAATAAATATCCCACATTTTTAAACCTATAGAAAGATAGCTTTCTTTCAAGTGTTCTTGGCACATTTAAAAAGCTGACCACATACTGGGCCATAAGGCCCCAAATCCCCCAAAGTGTAAATTGTTGTCAACCAAATTCTCTGCCCACAAAGAAGTAAATGAAACAATTGAAAGGAAAAGCTCTATAACATGAACAAAAAATCTCAACCCTTGTAAATTTAAAAAATACTTTCTAATATATCCATCTAAGGTAATAATTTTATAAATGGGCAATGTTTTAAAAGCAAATATATTTACCACATCTTTAAAAAAAAATGAAAACAACCTATGACAAGCGAGGGAATGATTAAGATACTTGCTAAGTGATATTAGACAAATTAATCTGTCGGAGCCTGTATTTTCTTATCTGTAAACTGGGGATAATTATCTCCTTCCATGGGTTGTTGTGAATATTATATTAGATAATGCTTGTGAAATATTTCAACCTCTGTGCTTAGTATCAAGAGAACATCAGTACGTCTCATCTATTAAGATTGTCATCAAAGTTATGCTTATGATGAGTTTGCAATAATCCAGAGAAATGCTGATATTATTGAGGGGAAAGTGTGGAATAGTAATGTGAAATACATTGGACTGAAACAACAGTAAATAAGTATGTGTAACCCAAATAAAATTGTGCCTCACGCACTCACCCAAAGCACTGTCTTAGCACAGTGGCAAAGCAAAAGAAACACAAACTGATTCTTAGAAAGCTGTGAACCATGTAGCTGCTTATGAATAGAGAGGTGTGACTTACCTCACCTGTTACGCATCTTACAGTGAACCTCCTAAAAAAGTCTCTTTGAAATGTTGCCCTCTGGAGTCTCACCTTTCATGACAACTGCTCAAATCTGTCTTTCTGCCTCTCAGGACCTGGGATCTCTTCCTTTCAGGTCCTTCTTCATCCCTTCTTACAGGGCTAGCCATCATTCTCTGCTTGTCTTACTTGCATTCCCATCCATTACTTCCCTCTGACAAATAAACAAATCTTTCTTGGGACTTAACCCTTTTTTAAGGGGGTTGGGTTGGTTTTAATATGTGACTATTTAAAATTCAATAACTGTATCTCTGTCATGTAACAGGAAGCAACACTGACATTTTCCCTCTGCAACAACAATACATGAAAAACAAAACAAACTGGAAGGAAATACACTAGAAAGCAACACTAATTGTTTCTGGACAATGAGGCTATAACTTGTTCCTGCCATTTTCTACTTTACTTTTGATTTCACATTTTCTACAATGCACGTCTTACTTTTTAAAAAAAAATGTGAGATAAAATCCACATGCTACACAACTTATTCTTTTAAAATATACAATTCAGTGGTGTTTATGATATTCACAGGGTGGTGCAACCATTCCTGCTATTTAATTCCAGAATATTTCCATTATCCCCCAAAGAAACCTTGTATCCACGTATCCACTAGCAGTCATTCTCTATTCTCATTCGCCCCAGCTCTGGCAACCACAAATCTACTTTCTGTCTCTACAGATTTTCCTATTCTGGACACTTCATGTGAATGGAATCATGCAATATGTGGCCTATTGGGTCTGTCTTCTTTCACTTAGCGTAGTATTTGCATTTTCATCCATATTGTAGCACCTTTCAGTACTCCATTACTTTTTATGGCTGAATAATATTCTTAGACATATTATTTCTATAATGAGAAAGATGTTTTAGCTTTTTAAAAACTAATGGATAGATTAAGTATAACCCTTGATTGTCACTTCTACTAAGAGTACACTTCACTAAGAGTACAACCCAATCATAACACATGATTTTTGATAACACATAAATTGTTTTTCAAAACCATATGTACATAAAAAGCATAGAGAGTCTGCTAAACCTGTTTCTTTCTCTGACTCGAGCTCTCACATAAAAAAAAAACCCCACAGGAATCAAAATGTTTTTCTGAATATCAAACACAGAAATTGAACCATATAAAAAGACAGCTGTGGATATTCAGGACAAACACATACAATTCTATCTCAAACAGAAGATGAAAAATTCTTGGCTTTTAAATCTTGAGCATTCAAAGGGAATACTTACGGTAACTGAAATGAGAATTTTAAAAAACTGGAAACAGGGCACATGAAATACTCTGTGGCAATCAATTGTAGTTAAAGATAGTCTAAGCTCAGATCAATATAGCATAATTCAGCTTTACATTCATTAAGAAGAAAGTAGTTCCAGATTTGTTGGTATGCATGCCATGTATGTATTTGTGTACCTGGAAATCACAAACACATAAATATTGATGCACACTCAGTGCCCAAATTTAACGTTGCAATCTTTACTTGGAAAGGCAGCTTTCTACACATTTTCAGTGACAAGGGAGACATCCTGATGGAAGCTAACAGTAGCTAGCTCATATAAAGTAATGGTTCAGGCAAACATAGAATTCTGTAAATGAAGGACTTACCCTGGACATAAAATGTGAGGTGTTTCAAACACACTGAGGGTGAAGTCGGGTGGTGACCAGAAGTAGGGCACTGGTGGTGTACTGGTTCTTGATCTAGGTGCCAGTTACATAGGTATGTTCAGTTTGCAAAAAGTCATCAGGACGTACATTTGCGATCTGCATACATTTCTCTATGTGTTATACTTCAGTACTTTCTTAAAGTAAAAAAAAAAAAAAGAAAGAAAGAAAGAAACAAGAAACTCTACACATTGATTTTGGAGGCCCTATCATCCTCATGGGGGTGGGGCTTAGCTAAGAGCTGGATGGGGAAGTTTTGTCAAGAATTAATAATCAAAATATTGGTCAAGTCTTTAGAGATGGCAAAGTTGTAAGCGCTCATTTAAGAAAGCTAATACCAAGGCTGTAGACTGTGGGTGTTTAAAAACCCATACTCATGAAGAAAAGTCTCCACAGCCTTCTGTAGTAAGTTACTCATTGAAAGCATTCTCTAAAGATGTTACCAGGTTAGCTTCTGGAGCAGCAGGATGACCACCTGCTGTGGTCTTCTGATACAATGACAATCAAGCAATTGTATGTAAACATTCAAGAGACTATCATATGCTCGTTAGGACTAGGCTGTGCTTTGATTCAGGCAAAGGAAGAAACGTTTTGTCAGGTTTTCACAGCAACGTTAGACCATAAATGCAAAAGTGCTGGTGGAAAATTAACCAGACTTCCTAAGATCTCTTACTTTATTTGAAGTTATTGGCTAATAACAATGAATAGTTTCCAGCTAGTATTTTTCAGGGCATGTTCCTATACCTTCCAACTTTAGGTAGAAATTATTACATGAAAGATTGTACTATTTTAAAAAGCAGGATGAAGCACTGTTTGTGGAAGTGGAAAATGATACCAGTCTGGAGTGCGACTAGAAATTTTAAGCCAAAAGACTTTAAAATGTCATAACTTTCATCCAATTTTAAGGTTTTATTCCTGGAAAAATAATAAATGTATAGAAAAATATTTCATTTAAAGAATGTTCATCAGCTGGGTATGGTGGCTCAAACCTGTAATCCCAGCACTTTGGGAGGTCGAGGCAGGCAGATCACGAGGTCAGGAGTTTGAGACCAGCCTGGCCAACATAGTGAAACCTCGTCTCTACTAAAAATACAAAAATTAGTTGGGTGTGGTGGCACACGCCTGTAGTCCAAGTTACTTGGGAGGCTGAGGCAGGAGGCGGAGGTTGCAGTGAGCCGAGACCACGCCATTGCACTCCAGCCTGGGTGATAGAGTGAGACTCCGTCAAAAAAAAAAAAAAAAAAAAAAAAAAGAATATTCATCATCGTATCACTATTTGTGGAAACAAAAATAACTTTAGAAGTCCAAACAAAGGAGATGGGTTAAAGAAAAATGAATATATGTCCATCAAAAATGTGCTATAGGAGTACACTTATTGTTATATTAAGATGTTCATGATAAATCTTTGCATTAAAAAAGATTTAAAAATTTACAGAATAACACCACTGCTTAAAAATTATGTGCCTAAATTCACACAAAAAGATTGAGATAGAGATATACTAAAATACTAATGCCAACATCTTTTATAGGACAGGATTATAATTCATTTTAATTTTTTTATTTTTCTCATCTATATATTCCATCTCTTCTATAGTGAACATATGCTTTTTGTGAAACAAAGAAATTTTACAAGAAAGAGGGCATGGAGGTAGGAAAACAAGGAAATAAAATACCTTCATGTGTGAGAAAACATTCTTCCTTCATTATGTGAAATTAACATCTACTGTTGACCTTCTCTCTGCGTACCTTAAGAACTTTGTGTGAAATGTCTTTTATATGGTAGGGAACAGCCTTGCTGTTCCTGGACACTTCTTTTCAATCCTGAGCAGATGTCCCACTCATCAATATATCATCTTGGAGTTCCTGGTTATTCAGCTCCCTTTACTTCTATCAAAGGAACTAATACCTCAATAGGCCCAACCACAAAAACTACATAGCCCCTCAGCCTAGAACAATGCAACAAGGATATACCTGTTGCATGCTAGGTGTAGGAACAAGGCCATGGGAAAACATTCTCTAATCTTTCCAGATCAAGTCATGAGACTTTGAGAGATTTCAGTAGTCATGTCAGAAGAGAGTCCCTGGTCTACTTCAAATAAATAGAGTTTAAAGAATATTAGAATCTGATCTAAGGGTTCATTGTTGACTTTTGTTTGATACACACAAAGGGAAACAAGTTCCTTTACTTGAAGCCACTTTCCAGGAGCCTTAATGATCAGCTGCCAAATTTAGCCTTTGGCTCCATGTCCACTGTGTCGATTATTCTCCCATGCTTACTGAAGTGAGGCCAAATCTCATCCCTATTTAGAGAGAACAAATCTTGATGAAATGGAGAGCTGGTGAACCTGTATTGTAAAGAGCCAGAACATACTCTAATGAATGGAAGCACATGGGCCTCATGGCTTATGTTTTAAAAGTACGTTCACATGAAAGGATCAATGGCCGTGGGCGTGCTATATGAAACATAGAGAGGAGGGGAAGATACAGAGAAGGCAGTCGAGATTGGCTGCTCATTGGACTCACTGGGGGATTTGTTTTGTTTTGCATACTGCTATCTGTACAAGAATGTTCTTGGCAGCACTATCCAAAATAGCCAACAACTGGAAACAACCCATCAACAGTAGAACGGATAAAAACTAATAAATTGAGGCCTATTTATACAATGGAATATTATACACCACTAAAAATGAATGAACTACTGCTACACACATTATGGATGAATCTCAGAAACATAATATTGAAGCCAGGTACAAAAGAATACATAGGATATGATTTCATTTATATAAAGTCCAAAAGCAGGCAAAACTAATTTATGGTATTAGAAGTCAAGATAAGGGTTACATTGATTGGGTAGTGGCTAGATAGGGGCATGAGAAGGGCTTCTGGGTGCTGGTAATGTTCTGTTTCTATATTTACGTGCTGGTTATGTGAGTGTATTCAATTTAGGAAAATTTTTTATATACTTATAATTTGTTTTTCAAATATAAGATATACTTCGATAAAACAGTTTTAGTTCAGATTCCTGGGCCCTAACACGGATCTACTAAAACTGTAGGCTCTAAGTTCTTTGAGGTATTCAGTGTAAAGCAAGGTTGGGAATCACTACACCAGATAATCTATATCCATTGGTGTGCAGAAGCCAGCCCCTACTAGACCACAAGAACTAGCTGTTAAATTTTTAGGAATTTTGCAGGCCCATTAGTGCCAGTATTAAAAATTAAATTACATCAGTTTACAATTACATAAATTATACTAAAAACAAAGATAATAAGTACTCAAAATGCATCACTTTCTAGCTATTTCTGTTTACTATTATCTATATTTTGAGGCTATTCACGCCAATTTTATCTATATGGTGAAAGTACAATACAATGGTGTGACACCGCATCATCTCTTTCCAACTCTGTGCTCAGCCACATCAGCAGCTTGAAATTGGACGTGGTGGGAATATTTACACCACAGAAATCAGCAGCCACTACCAATCAGTGCTTGCGTATTGTTCTAGATCTAAGAAAATAATTTAAAACTGTTAATAATGGAGATTAAACTTAAAAGTGTGCTATATGTGTAGGTGTGGCACTATGAATAGTACGTTTGAAAAATATTCTTTCAGTATTAAAAATTATCATCCGGTTCAGCAAGGAAGTGATTCACATCATGGATGAATGAGTAGAGTTCTGACGTATGTCTTTGATGTTTCACTTTTGTCTTACTGATTAACATAAAAGAAAATACCTGCCAGCATTTATATGGGAGCTGCACCCCTTAATCAACTGCAACATAGGTTGGCCTATGGATAGAAGAGTTCTGCAAAAAACAACAAAAGCATACTGTGAGACCTAATCGGCTATACTGAATTTACAATAACAAGTATTACAGAGTTTATTATTATTTGTAAACAGTGTACTACACATTCTTTATGTCATTAAAATTTATGTCAATTTGTGTATGCACATACATGCATTTTACTTTTTTCCAGGAGAGCTGGTTGATTTACCAGGTCATCACCACCTACATCCCTCCTATGTTTAAGATTCCATGACTCTCTATTATGATTCAAGAAACAAGCAAACAAAATAAGGTCTGGTTATGGCCTATTAAGCATGAATTTCAGCATAAGATATAGTAACCACTATTCTTTAGGACCTCATGACTCAAAGTGTGGTCCACAGACCAGCAGCACTGGCATCAATGGGGAGCTTGTTAGAAATGCATGATCTCAGGCCCCATCCCAGAATTACTGAATCAGAATCTGCACTTTAACAAGATGCCCATTCTTGTACACACATGAAAGCCTGAGCACAGCTTTAAAAGCAATTAATTCCTTGGTAAGAATAAAAACTTACATATAATCAGTTTGAGATTAGTAGAAGGTTAAGGACAATATAGCAACTGGTGAGTTCTCAGCACCTAGCCCCAGTTCAGCCACTTCATAGCACTGGGAAAGACGTATACTTGCTACTTTTAAATTTGAAGAAAAGGACATCCATCTTGTAATATGCATTTACCAAATACTAAAAGTGAAATTGTACCATCAGGATAATAAAGTCTATTCTAGGCCACTTGGATTATTACTAAAAAAGGAAAAACAGGTACAAGTATTTAAAATATATATATCAAAGCAGTAGCTTTCCTCCACATATGTGATGAATTGGAGGTGTTGGCAAGGACTCAGTTCCAAAAGTCCAAAGCAGGGCAGCAAGTGCCACATGTCGAAATGTGGCAGCTGGGGAGAGGAGTGCAGAAAACACTTCCCAGCGATGTAATTTAGGCCAGGGTACTTATCAAGTGCTGCCGGTGAAATGGGGAAATTGTGGTGTTTATGCTTTTCCTATCAATATATCAGTCAGCAACACGTGACAAAAAGAAAAGGCAGGAGCAGCATACCTCAAATACTCAATACTACAGTGAATTGAAATGAAGGTAGCGAAGTCTCACCTTTCAAAATTGAAAGCAAAAATTTTCTACTGGCAATAATATTCTCTGGAAATATTTCTTAGTTATCTGGCTGGAAATAGTGGCTTTGAGATACAAAGTTCCATGTAGAACACACGTTAGCTACTTAGGAACAGTGTCTGGAAGAAAATGAGAGCCACAAATCTGCAAAAGAAGCTTGGTATTAGTTTGCAGCAGAAACTAAGGCAATAAAATAATTCAATGCAAGTAAACTTTGGCAACCTTAGAGTGTGAAGAAAACAAATGTAATGGAGACTGGGCCACTGGAACCCAGAGAGACCACTGGGCCTGTTGTGTTCAAGAAAAAAAAGGTTCCTATAACCATTCCTTGCAAATCAGAATTCAAATGACTCCAGTAAATTTAGAGACAAAATGATACAACTGCCCTAATATATTAAAACACTTTCTTTTGACATACTCTAGGAAGGCTAAGAAGAGAGCTAACCCTTATTGAGCACCTACTATGTGCTTTACATGCATGAGGCTTTTATAACATCCTCATAACCCTCTGATGGGGGAGGGGATACTGTTCCCATTTTACAGTTGAGGAAAGTAAGGTCATATTTCACCTAAGTTGCATAGTTAATGAAAAGCCAGAGTTTGGTCAAAATGAAAAAGCGCCAAATGGATCACATAACAAAGACAGCTTGGAAGGGTTCTTGTAACAAAGACAGCTTAGAAGGGTGTTATGTTTTGAATAAGAGAAAAAGACTATTTTATCTCAGCACCACCGAAGATAAGTGAGGTTTCTCCTAGTACCCACCATATCTTTACACGACTAGAATTCTCTTATCAGCATTTCTGGATGTACCTTGGGTTTCACATGTATATCATACTTGCTAGTTGTATTTCAGGCTATGTTGGAAGATTTAGAAGACTTGGCACTTTTCAGGCAGTGTTAGGTAACGGAACTGGGCTTTGGCTGGGACTTGGAAGCCTGGGTTCAGTTCAGATGGTGTCACTTATTAACTATGAGAGTAGTCAAGTTACGTTGCCTCTCTGGGTGCCAGTGTTTTCCATCTACATGAGGTTGGGCTAGGTATCCTTAATAAGGACATTCCTGGCTCCATGATTCAACTCTCTATGACCCAACTGTTTAAGATTGTGACAACTTCCATCAAAATACATTTAAAATGACCTAAACAGTTAGCCAATTTATCTAGGCAAAAATGTTATGTAGTTCAAATTTAAATACAAAATTTAGAAAGTAGAAACAAACCCAGAAGAATAACTTCTATACTCCAACATCTGCAAGAGTAACCTGTAATGAAATGGTTTAAAGTGTTGCTTTTGGTGGTGGGTTGGGGGAGGTGTTATTTAGAGCAAATATATATTCAAGTTCTTAGACAGCATTGGGTGCAAATCCAAGCTCTGTTTCCTAGTAGTTCTTTAACATCTCTGAGTTCCATTTCTTGCCTCTGTAAAGTTGGAATGGATAATGAATATTAGCTGCAATTTAGTTAACGTGTCTGGCATCTAGTAGGGGCATAAATGCTAGTTTATTGTTATCACAGCAGTCATTAAGGGTTTGGTCTATGGTTGGGTAACAATTCAAAGGAAATTTCTCCACAGAGAGATGGAACCTAAGATCATAACCTTATTAACACTGGGAACTTGCCATTAACCTGTGTCTATGCAATAAATAAACTCAGGTGCACAGTGGAGACATGTAATTGCTTTCTTCTAGACCTATTGGCATCGCTTTCTTTGTAAAACTTGCTAATTCGTTCTTTAGTGGATAAAGCCTGACTGGAGGCATGCTGATGTATTTGATGACAGAGCTCAAGGAAGTTTCTGAAGACAGGAGTGTCCTGGGACATCTGGAAAAAGTGACAGTCATAATCACATGTCCATCCTTTTTGGCGTTTTTTGCCAGTTTTCCAATATCTGTCCTATGGGCACAAGGAACAAAAGGTGCCAGGAAAAGGAGGAAGTGGGTCCTATTTGTTTACAAACTAAAAATAAAAAAATTCTGATGCTAACAAATAACTAATCTGTAAATATCCCATCCATTGGAGTGACTGCTTCTTGATCCTTCCCCCAAAAGCTTTCCCTTTCCTTTTCCTCTTCCCTGCTGCCCATACACTCACCCATCTCCTGCCCTCGTCTACACACACTTTTTGGAACTCATTTTTCCCTCCCTCTCCAAGTTTTGTTTTGGTCTTGTGATGTTGGTGGGAAGCCTGGTGGAGAAGAGAAGAATTCAAATCACCTATGCTCTTTAAACCCTAAAACATGAAGCCAGAGGGAAACTTGAATGGCTTATTTTCTAAAAGGAAGACCAAGAGAAAGTTTTAAACATTTCTCTGTTTTCTACAGGTATATTTCTTGAGCAAAAAAATGGCAGAATTTCAAATGTTTCCAGCCATTTTAAAAGAGGTAAGTCATGCATACTAACCAAAGCCTTATGAAATTCAAAAGAGAAAATAAATGATTGCTAAATGATTATTATTAGAGATACCATGCTAATTCCTAGATCTCTTTTGTTCATAATGTTATATGATTCAAAGTATAATTTTAGTGCTTAAAATTATAGGTTTATGTTTGCTATACTGATATTTTTGTTATATACCATTATCACAACTAACCCTGTTGATGAGGTCTTGGCCTGTAATGGGATCTTCCCAATAATAATAGTGCTGTTATAGAAAGTGACCTATTTTGTAATGATCCACTATATAACAACTTTTACAGGACAGACGTGTTATAGGACAGCTTATAACATCCCTTTAAATGCTTAAAAAATATCTTCACTAATTAAGATTTTAGAGCTATTAGCTTGAATGGGGGTTATCAGTACATTAAAAAAGATGATATCCTAAGGTTTGCTTTCATAATTTGTTTCCCATTTCATTTTTTAGTACCCTTTTATATAAAACTAGCTAAGAAGGATTAACAACTGTTACAAATTACTTTATGAAAAGAAAGAGGGGAGAAAGGAACTAGGGGAACAGAAGAGAGAGAAGCCTGTCAATTCAGGCAAAACCTGAAAAAGGCTTGCTTAACATTTGGTTGTTATCAGGACTTTGGTTAGGATTTATCTATTATGTATCCGAATCCATCTACGTGGTGCCTTTCAGACAAACTGAGGTTCCAGGAAAAATCCAGTACTTTTAAACATCATGCCAAATTATTATGCTTTCTCAAAGACGCCGTGCAGATTCAAACAGCTCACAATTTTAGGTTACTATGCTTGTGAGGCAATAACATCCTTGAGTTTGAGATACTGCAATTTAGCGGTTCTGGATGACTACATTATCTCTCCCTGTTGGGTTGAAATTCTACATTCTACCCTTTCCCAAACTCTCACCCATTAATCATCTACCCAGACAAAAAAAATGTGCTTGGAAATTTTTTTTCATGCATATATGGAATTGCAAAGTAATTCCACAGAGTGGAAAATGCTGAACTTCTCATAAATGTACCACTGATCCCCAATTCAGCCTTCTGGCAAGTATAATCTTGATTTATTCTCTATTGTTTCATACCTGAATATTTAACATCTTGCCTTTTAAATCTTCCGTAAAATCTTCAAGGCCAGAGACCCCACAATAAAAACTTTCTTATATCTTTGACAGTGTCATGCCAGAAAGTACACATGAATACTTACAATTTCACTAATTTACTTAAGAGAATAGAATTTATTATTTTGCAACAGCTGGGCCATTGTTATTATATGTGCTAGTAATTACCAAGTTATCTTAAACAAGTCACTTAACCTTCTTTGTCTTCAGTTTCCCTAGTGGAAAACAATTTTTCAACTAGAGAGTTTAGGTCTTAGGGTAAGACAAAAACTTTAAAAAAAATCCTATTTGTGCCATTTAATAGAAGTAAGAATTGAACATATTATTTAATGTCTCTCAACTTCCAACTCCTCACCTGTAGTTTGGAACTCAAGGTAGTGGTTTCACCTCCTAGAGATTTTTTTTTTCTTTTTGAAGCAGAATAAGACTATTAATATAAAGAATGCAGCACATTACCTGAACCGTGATTCATGCTCAATAAGTCAATTATTATTATATCAAGTTTCTTCCACCCCAGAGTGCTAAGATTAGCATAGAAGTAAACCCTCAATTATCAAGCACCCAGATCCCCAGTATTCTCAAGCGTGGGCACCATTCTGATGCCTAAAGTGAAAAATAAAACGTCGTATGAAGGACAAACTGGTTTGAGGCCCATATTTGTACCATGGTACTCACAGAGTAAGCAATAATTTTAACAATCATTGAACTCATGACATTCACAACTGAGTCCATAAAAAAGTCAAAGACAAAATTTTTAAAACACAAATGATTAAGAAACCTGTTCTGAAATGCATGCTCAAAATTAGATACAGAATGTTACCAATCTATAGTCATGGGTTTGCACAAAGACACTGACCTGGCTTGCTGGAAGTGAAGAACAGAACACTCGGCTCACAGCTGGACTTACCTACATAAAAGAGAGAAATACTTTATAAATTCTACTGCCTGCCAGGAGTACATGGGGAGCCACTAAAATTTTCAACATACGTTGTTTTCTTTTTTTTCCCCCGAGAAAGGGAAGAATCTGCTTTACTTTTGCTAAGTGCCAGTGTTAATGTGGCATTTCTTAGGGTCAAATACATCCTGAAATAGCTAGGTTAACATTTTGCAGGATTTGTGAAAATATATTTTTGAGCACTTGGGACGATACCAAAAAAAAAAAAAAAAAAAACCCAAAAAACATTTGGCCACAAACCGATAGATAACAATGAAAATCTTACAGGCATTTTACAATACAGAAGTCATAGATGTGGTCATCCTATTCAAAATAGCATTTTTAGACAATATAATCATAATTAAAAGACCAAACAATTTTGTTTCTTCCTGTTGTATTTGTATAACTTATCATTTGTATTATTGAGCCAATAACATCCAACTGTTACATGTGTTTCTATTTCCACCTGTGTGATCACACAGCTTGCGTTATGCACTTTAAAAATTTTACACTATCTTCAAACTCTGGGAAAGCAATAATGGGCAAAATTAGTATATTGACTATGATATTCTTGCTTCCTAATGATTTTCCAAAGCCTTCTGTACTAGGATCAACTGGTTAAAGCTTTTTCCCATTAGTATGTCCAAATATGATCCAGGAATCTCAGAGGAAACCATGTTTAATATAATAATTTACTGCCCACTCCACCTGTGGAGCAGAATGCAGACATTATTTATACTGAAAAGAGCTTGTGTTTATTTTCTAGCAAACAGTGACTCTGTTAGGCATCTAAAGGTTACTGGAAATGAAACGTAGTTCCAAATTTCTAAATAGCGTTTGTAAACAAACTTACCAGAGTATGTTTAAAAAGGTCTAAGGCTTGCTAAGACCAAACAAACACAGCCTATTGACTATTTACTATCTGCTGCTCGTCAGAGGACTTATACAAAGATGCAACCACCGATAACGGTATTTTTTTTTTCGGTTTAGAGTATGTTAGTGTAGAACGTACACCACAGCCTCGGTTGGGGGTGGGGGAGCCCCAAACCAGTGAAATCTCAAGCTGAGCGTTTGGCTGGAGTTCAGCAAGGCTCAGTGAACAGCACAGGATGGGGAAGTTCAAAGTCAGGGCGACTCTTTTGGTCTTAACTTCCTAGATTTTCCTAGATCTGGGTGCCCCTGTGTATATATTAACCTTCATGCATTTTTGCCCCCAGCAAATGTGTACAGTCAGCTCCAAAGGCACAGCTTGTGTGCTAACGTGCAAAGCCAAGTCAAAACCCTGTGCTTGGCGCTCTCTTCTAACTTTTTGGCTTGTCCAAGTCTAAATATTGACATTGCTCCTCAGTTGAGATGTTTGATACTGCCGGGGATGAAAACGGTGCAGCTAACAGTAGGATCTAATGATATATTTTTACATAGTTGTGCCTGCCTTCCACTTCCTTTCGGGGGGCAGAGGGCTGGATTCTCTTGCCTGCACATCTCCCCTTGGTTGTTTTCCCCAAAGCTGAGCACACACAGACAAGGTAAGGTGTTCTGCAAGCCCCTCATGGCAGCTTCTCCTGTTGTCACAGCAACTCACAACAGACTCCATAGACACGGGGTTGCGGGGGAGGGGAGGGGAACGCCAAACTGTGGGCTGGCCAGTCAACTCTCAAGAGGGTGCAAGCGCCAAAGGGGCTAGCTTATTCCCCTGTTCGGGTCCTCCGGTACCCGCCCTGCCTCCCCACACTAGCCTTCGAAGGGGAAGCGCCTTCTCGTCGGCGCGGCACCACCCCCTCCCTGGCGCAGCCAGCCTGATAAGGGTGCCTGTTGTACATTTTCTCAGCTCCAAGTTAGGGGTGCGGCTGTGCGGGCGCTCCTAGAAATCTCTTGTGCTCGCCTCTGATGGGAGGGTTCCTGGCCTCTCGGAGAGGCGAGGGCGGCCCCCCTAGCGGCTCGGTCCCACAACTCTCTCTCAGGGCGCTGCTGGCCGCGTGGCACGGCCCAGGGCCCGCACTTGCCACCCGCTGGGGCCGGGGCGGTGGGGGCTCCGCAGCGGCTGCTCGGAGAAGTTTCATAGCATAGAGCACTCACGACACAGAACCTACCCTGAAGCCGAGCGAGACGCGAGCTCTCTCCGCCTTCAAGGGCCGGGGGGAGCGGGGGGGCCCCCGCCACTCAGCAGCAGCCACGGCTGCGCGCGGTCGCGGGTGTGCGGGGCCCCTGCGCGCGGCGCGCCGCCCGCCGCCCAACTTTGCACAAAGGCAGCATGGCACTGCCTCGCCCTGCCGCCTCGCCCGGCGCCGCGGCCGCTCTTCCCAGTCCCGGGCGAGAGGGGCTCGCCCCTTTCCACCCGCAGCCCTCCCCTTCGCCTGCCCCCACCCCGCTCCCAGGCGGGGCAGCCGGGCGGAACGGAGCACCCGGCACCTCGCTCCGCCGCCGTGGCGGCCGCCGCTCGCACTGTGACGTTAGCAGCCTTCGCGGCTATTTATATCCACACGATTGGATTTCATTCATGAAACCGGGGCCTGGTGTGTCTGTGCTCTGGGACACGGGTGGCAAAGGTGCCTCGGCTCTACACAGACCCGACGGGCCCGGGCACGGAAGCGGATCGCCCGGGACAAACCGACACAGAGCATGGGAGACCCCCGCCCTTTCCCCGCGCTGCCGGGAGGGGAGAGTCTGGGCCATCTGTGTCCCCGTACCCCATCCCCTACATCCCATCCACTCCCGTGCCTTTGCTGGCCCTTTGTCCCAGGCTTTGGAAAAGTAAGTTGGGCCACTAACCGGCTGGGCAGCATGGCTCTCTTCCCCCTAGGAGCTGACCGGCCGCGGACTCCGAGGGAGGACATTGGCTTTTGTTTCAAAACCGAGCCCAGCTGCTGACTAAGGGCTGCGTTAGCCCAGCCTCCTCCTCCCTGGGCGGCTGCACGTGCTGGCCGGCTCCTCCATTCTGGGTTACCTTCCTCTGCGACTTGGCCGGAGGGGTCCCAGCAGGGGGCGTAGGGACGCACCACTGACCCCGACCCGGGTACAGAGGTGATTTACAACCTCCTGCAAACGGCTGAGTGAGGAGGTGAAATTGACTGTGGCCTTCCACAGACAGCCCATGCCTCCTCACAGAAACTGCTCTCTCCCAGGCTGACGGTGAGTTCTGAGGACAGAACCAGGGGTAGTTTTCATGCATTCGCATAAATGCTTATAGAGTGACAAGATGCCAGGTGTCTTACCAAGCTCTAAAGAGGTGACATGAAAGCAACCAATTGGGTTCCTGCCCTCAGGGAGCTTTCAGTCAGCCTACTAAAATTAGTATGCCTAACAAAACCTATCACTCCCAGCCTGCAAAGAGACCACTGGGGAATAAAGACACGACTGTGTTCAGCTACCCAGAGGAATGAATATATTCATTTAATATACCTTTATTGTGTAGGCTGTATGCGGAGAGCGGGGGATACAAAGATGGAAACAATGTCATTCTTGGCCTCACCAGTTCTCAGGTAATGTGTTCCTGAGATACTGAAGGACTGGGAAAAAGAGAGCCCATCCTGTTATAAGGGCTACTTCTTTGGCTTATCCCCCCAAAAACAGGATGCGTGAAAAAATTCTAAAAGCAAACACACTTCTCCGTCCCTCAGTTTCTTCCAGGAAGGCGTCTTCAGTTTCCTGATGAATTACCCTACGGCCAAGATTCCCAGGTGAATTCCAGTCCAGTGGATATTTCTATTCTTCCTCGCTTGCTTATATTCTCTTGAAGTCAAAGGCTTGCCTGGTGCTCTCTGAATCCCCAGAGACCCCAGAAAATAGTGGAATCCAATGTTTTTATGAGGAAAGGTATCACCGGTAACCTCCTTTGTTTAAGCCATTTCCATGGCAGTATCTTTGAAAATGGAGTTACCAAGGTCGTAGTCTTTGATACCAGAGAGAGTAGTGAAAAGTCAAGCACAGGTGTCTACTCCAAGAACACATCCAAGAGGTGGGTGATCATTTACTTGGCATAAAACTGACTTCCCATCCCGGCGCGGTGGCTCACGCCTGTAATCCCAGCGCTTTGGGAGGCTGAGGCGGGCGGATCACGAGGTCAGGAGTTCGAGACCAGCCTGGCCAATATGGTGAAACCCCGTCTCTATTAAAAATACAAAAATTAGGGCCGGGCGCGGTGGCTCAAGCCTGTAATCCCAGCACTTTGGGAGGCCGAGACGGGCGGATCACGAGGTCAGGAGATCGAGACCATCCTGGCTAACTCGGTGAAACCCCGTCTCTACCAAAAAATACAAAAAACTAGCCGGGCGAGGTGGCGGGCGCCTGTAGTCCCAGCTACTCGGGAGGCTGAGGCAGGAGAATGGCGTAAACCCGGGAGGCGGAGCTTGCAGTGAGCTGAGATCCGGCCACTGCACTCCACCCTGGGCGACAAAGCAAGACTCCGTCTCAAAAAAAAAAAAAAAAAAAAAAACAAAAATTAGCTGGGCGTGGTGGCACATGCCTGTAGTCTCAGCTACTTGGGAGACTGAGGCAGAAGAATCGCTTGAACCTGGGAGGTGAAGGTTGCAGTGAGCTGAGATTGCGCCACTGCACTCCAGCCTGGGTGACAGAGCAAGACTCAGTCTCAGAAAAAAAAAAAAAAAAAAAAAAACAAAACCACAAACTGACTTCCCTTAGTATTTTGCAAAATGACTCCATCTTGAAAGGCTTAATCAAAATACATTCTTTTCAGGTACAAATTTCTTGGGAAAAGTTAATTAACCCTGTTCACTCCTAGCAATCAGCCCTCTTCATTGCAAGCCATTTCTCTTCAAACTGCTCTGGCAGCTAAAAAATAGGGTAGAAACTCAAAAGAAATGGGAATCAACATGTATGGCGGCCCCCATATGTGGTGGGCACAGGGCTGGGTGGCTTAAAACACATTTTCTCATGTAATCCCCACAACAACTGACAAGGCAGATGCTATTATTATCCTAATTATTTTACAGACGAGGTAACAGGCATGGAGAAGTTAGTTTTCCGATGTCTTGACAGTTGCATTTGCACCTGGGGTGGTCTGTGCCAAAGTCTTATTTTATCACTGACCTGCTTTTTAACAGCCTGCTTTTCCTCAGTTTCTTCCATTTTCTCAGTTCTAAACTAAAAAGAGTTCAGTGTCATACTTCTCTTAAATAATAGGCAGGTGCCTATACCAGAAAGACACACAAAGACCCCACCTGGCAGGGTACCCTTCAGCTCTTGACCTCCACCCCCAGGGCACACCAAGGCTCACAGGCTTCCAAAACATGTTTCTTCTAAAGGGGATAAAGAAAGTCAGCCATCTTGGAATTACCTAGTTGAGTGCCTAAATCTGAGGGAAACTGGAAGCACTTTCAAGAAAATAAGTTGGTATCAACAGTAATTCAGACACAGCAGAGTAAAAGTCATTGTTCTAGGAAGTCCTTCCAAACAAGGGCAGTGATCAAAGAAAGACGTTGCCACATGGTACTATGCAGCCCCAAACTTTACGTATAAAACCTCAGACTGGAAAAGTTGAAGAAAATGCAGCAAGTAGTACAGACTGTATTTTGCCAATAGGAGAAGAGAGAAAGGGAATCATAGCAAATAACGCCTGTAATCACTGCCATGAGTGTATCCCTGCTCTTGTTATTTCCATGAAACGATCAATTTTTGTATACTAAAATCATTGCTTGCTGATAGAATCAGTACCATTCCCTTTAAGTAAACATAAAAAATAGTACCTAAGTGGAATTAAAGCAACATTGTGTATTTAAACACTTTCATGTTTCTGTTGCACAAAGGTGACTTAAAAACTTTAGATTAGCTTTTATGGCAGCCATTTTATCAAAGTCATAGGATTAAAAAAATCCCACAGGCCGGGCGCGGTGGCTCAAGCCTGTAATCCCAGCACTTTGGGAGGCCGAGACGGGCGGATCACGAGGTCAGGAGATCGAGAGAGACCATCCTGGCTAACATGGTAAAACACCGTCTCTACTAAAAAATACAAAAAACTAGCTGGGCGCAGTGGCGGGCGCCTGTAGTCCCAGCTACTGGGGAGGCTGAGGCAGGAGAATGGCGTAAACCCGGGAGGCGGAGCTTGCAGTGAGCCGAGATCCGGCCACTGCACTCCAGCCTGGGCGACAAAGCTAGACTCCGTCTCAAAAAAAAAAAAAGAAAAAAAAAAGAAAAAAATCCCACACTCTAGACATAGAATTGTTCCACCATCACAAAAGAATCCTCTCATACTACCTCTTTATATTTGCACCCCCAACCATAAATCTGTTGTCCATCTCTAGAGCTTTTTTATTATTGTGAGATTGTTATATTAATGGGAACGTAAGTATGTAATGTTCTGAGATTTACTTTTTTTTCCTAAGCATAATGCTCTTGAGTTTCATCCACGGTGTTGAACATATCAGTAGTTCATTCCTTATTATTGCTGAATAAATTTTTATTGCATGGATGTACCAGAGTTTGTTTATCCATTCACCCACTGAAGGATATTTGAGTAGTTCCCAGTATTTTGCTATTAATATTATGAAAAACACTTCCATAAACATTTGTGTATAGGTTTTGTGTGAGCATAAGTTTTTATTTCTGTGGGATGAATACTGAATAATGCAATCGCTAGGTCACATGCTAAATAAAAAACTGCTGAACCATTTTCCAAAATGGCTGCACCGTTCAGATTTCCACCAGTAATGTATGAGAGATCTCCACATCCTCAGTAACATTTGTATTGTCATCATTTTTTAAAAAGTTTCACTTGTTATAATAGTTGTGCAGAGACAACTCATTGTAAGTTTTAATTTGCATTCCCCCAATGAATAATAATGTTGAATATATTTTCATTGGCCTTTTTGCCATTCTTATCTCCTCTTTGCTAAAATACCTGCTCAAGTCTTTTGCCTATTTTATAATTGGATTGTCTGTCTTTTTACTGTTGAGTTTTTAAGAGTTTTAAAAAATACATTCTGGGGTGGTAGAATTTTCAAATTGCAAATTAAGTACTACCATCCCAAGGGAACTCTATTTTCAACTCAAATGTATTGTTCAACATTTCTATTGCCATCAATTTTATCAAGAACATTCTTAGGTAAGAGAAGTACTTACATAAAACTCCTATAGAAAGGGTCTTTTCAGGATTATTTTATAAGACTGCATTTCAATGGTTGGTAAGACACAGGGAGACCTTAGCCACGTGTAGCCGAAGCTGAGCCTTGTGACAGGTGCAGATGCCTCCTGGGGCCAAAGCAGCTGGACACAGCAGTGGCTTTGTTCAATCAGAGCTAACCTAAGAAGAGAGATTCATGCTGTCCATCTCTCTGCTCTGGATGCAGCATGTGATGCTGTCATTGGCTATTTACAAGAAATTATCCTGGATGATGAGTTCCAGGTGTTACAGAGAAATTTTGGGGACTAGTACTAATAGGGGTTTGAAGCACAAAAGAGAATACGCTCATGTATGGCCCCATTTTAA